TTTTCTTAAAAACTTATTGTAAAAGGATTAAAATTTCAATGGTCTAATTTCTATGATTTTTTTAATCTGATTCCAACTTTCTCTCTCTTTAAATAAAAAATTTATTTTTGTTATTAATTTTTATTATTTAGACTAAAACTCTCAATATATCAAATATCTTTCTTAAAAGATTAATTGAGTAAAAAAGAAATTTGTTCTAGACATAAAATCATGAAATTTGAATCTAAAATATTACAATAATCTAAATATATATATATTAGATAATGATTTTATTCATTATTTTAGTAATATTCATATTTATCACAAGTATGTCTAGCAAATATTAAATACATTCTTTAATCATAAGACGAAATTTCAATATATAGAATTAAAGAAGAATAAAAAATTATATAATTTATATAATTTAATTATGAATGTTTGAATACATCAATCTAAAAAAGATCCTAAGCAATATGCAATAAACTACAAATTTGTCAATTCTCTTAACCATATACAAGTTTTAGTATTTTTTAGCATTTCTATCTAAAAAAAATATTATATATATATATATATATATATATATCTTAATATTTTTATTTACATGTTTTTTTTTATAAAAAAAATTAGAATACAGATCAAACACAACATTCTAAATATCAAGAGTAATATTCACCATAGTTTCTCTCTTTTTTATGTTCTAAAAGTTTATATACGTATTTTTTTATAAAATTAATTTTTATTATAAATAAAATAAAATTACAGAATTCATTGAGTATTTTATTTTTTAAAATGTTTTACAAAATATATTGAGTAGGTTCCCAATTTTAGGAATTAAAAAATGAAAAAGGGAAAATATTAGATATCTCTTGTACTTTTTATTAATTATTTATAATTTAATCTTATTAGTTAAGCTTTGTGACATTATTACTAAAATGTTTAATATATAATTTTTCTTCTCTTCAATGAAGTATGTTCTTTGAAGATTGTACATGCAACCAACTAACTTTTTACTTACACTTATTTGATATTTATTTATCTACTATATTTTTTTCTATAGAATATTTTATTTAATTAATATTAATAATAATTAAAATATATATTACATATATTTTAATAATATTACATATAATATTTATAGAAGATTATTTTTATTTAAAAAATAATTTCGAAATAAAAACTCAAAAGATCAATTTAAACTTATAAATCTTTAAATCTTTAAATTTCTAATTATTAATATTTTTATTTTATCATTTTTTATATCTTAATTTTTTAAATAAATTATGTTAAATTAAATTAGTGTACGCACATATATATATATATATATATATACATACATTATATATTTTTAGGCATTAAAAAACATCTTTATAAACATTAACTGTATATTACATTTTTTATCTTAATATTGCAATATCTAACAATAGATTGTTTGGAAAGAATAGTATTTTTTCACCAACAAAAATTTATCAAGTAAATAAAATCAATATAATAAAAAACACTCTAAAAAAGACATCATCATAATGGTTGCAGCTTTTATGTACTATACATACAATTATTAAGTTCTAACAATTGATTTAAAATATTTTAAAACATTAAAAATTTACTTGAGCATATAAATATTTAAAAAAGAATTAATTATAAAATAAACTATAATATAATACATTAAGTTTTAGAAAAACACTACATTAGAAAGTTCATTTAAGTACCTAAATCTTTAACTTAGATCTCTAAAGTTTATTTTACAAGAAATTTACATTACACAAGCTTCAATTTTTTGCCGAATAATACATGTAAAAATATTTTTGATTTAAAAGCTCTTACATAATTATTTTTTCAATTCAAATTTTAAGATTTTTTTTTTTTATCAAATCAACTAGAAATTGAAACTTTAAAATTATATTAAGATTAACAAGAAATTTAAAACTTAAAAATATCTAAAAGAATATTGCAATATTAAGATGGAAAAGATAGATTCTTTAATATCATATAAAACATAAGTACTATATTAAATATTTTTGCATAGTATGAAAGCAAAGAAGTTTAGAGAGAATACCTTATAACTTTTATAGAATTTAGAATTAATATACATGAATCAATAAAAATGAAAAATCCAATAGAAAAAATTAATAAATAATACGTTTTTTTGTTAACAAAAAATAGATCTAATAATTCAACTTTTAAAATCTAGAATTTCAATCAATATGCCAATAAATCTCACTAGTACTGATGTTGTCATTGACGTGTTTGAAAAATGAAGTTTAAAAAATATAAGCTTGGAGAACACTCCAAAATTTTCAAAAACATATTTGTAATAAAATCTTATTGCTGATGATCTCTTCTTAAAATAAACTCTTTACATCCCTAACAACTTAATACATCCTCTAGAAAATATACAAGTGAAAAGCTCCACTTTTTTAGGGATTTCTGAAAATTCTTTCACAAACGCAATTTCTTCCTCCAATACCAATTTGGGTTATATTAAACTCTTTTATGCCACGAATTACTTCAATAAAATCAGGATTGATCGGCCTCAAATCTTAAGTATTAAGCAGCCTCAAATAAGGACCGAGGTTGTGACGTAATTGGAAAGAAAACAGTCAGCCGAGGGTAATGATAATCTGCCACGAAAGCATTATCTGAGCGCCCGACTCGGATTCTAAGTTTTGGCTACACAACATATTATGTCAGTTATTGTAAGCGAAGCAGGAAAATTTGTGCATAGCGCTGCTCATAGTGACCAAAGATTCAAGTTTTGGTTCTGGCCAGAATAATGACTTTGTGGAAAAAATAGACTAAGCTGCGAGTTGGGGTGTAACCTCGGCTGCTCCAACGATGGATGCAGTGATAGATGCCATCTCTGAGCACTTCGAGTCCCGGTAGCTCTGACTTGTTGCTCAGTAAACGTGCTCTCTCAAGTTCATGATTAAACAAACCACAACTCCTGGGATTCGCTTGAATTGCATTCTCGCAAGTAAGTCACTGTTGATGTGTCATTCCATAGGTGCTCTAGCCTAATTCACTACAGAAGCATAGACTGAGAATTCACTGGATTACCCCATTTTCTTGTGCACGCTTCAACTTTCCCTAGTGGACAACTTACTGCAATACGTAAACTGCTGTTGCCGAAATGTGCAGTATCTATACTATGGCGAGTGTTATAAGCATGTATTTGAAAGTTTGCACCTAATTTTCGTGCTAACAATGTTGTGAAATCGGTGCCGGTTTTCTTGTGATATTGTGGACAGGTTTTTCCTCACATGAAGCGTCGACAATATCATGTGGGCTGTCACTGCGGCTGTGATTTTCACCCTTCTAGGTTCTACGCTACTGCCTGAAGAGCGCGGTCCTCACAACCTTGGCCGCCGAAGTACCACTTCATCCATCCCTTTGACCGTAGGTACAACACGATTTTCCGTATCTCTTATTGTTGGAAGAGCTTCTCAGTGACGGACTGCTCCCACATTCATGAGGCTGTGGGAGGTGCCCAAGTCTCAGATCACAGTTGACTTGCGCATTTCATGTTTACTATCGCATTTCATGTTTACGGTAGCATAAGCGATGCTACGTAATCGTCCAATGTGTGTAGAAATTCGCACTGACTGGGTAGCTCCCGAGACTCATTATAAGGTCGATGCTTATACCTGCATTATTCCACGACCTGCTGGAGCGTTGGGCACGATAGATTGCTTGCCAGGAGTGTGACAGTGTCAGAGGTGTGCTGGATCATGTTGACATCGCAACGCTTGGGCCCATGTGGCGGTTGCCGGTGTCTTCAAGACCATCACGCTTAGTGAACATCCACTTGTGTCTTTCCAGCAATCCAGCTACAGCTAATGCAGAAACCATTATAGTTTCTTTTTAACACCGATTCTTTCAGTGAAGGCCATGATTGATGATCCCTTGAGGTTCGTAATGCGAGGAGGACGATGAGGCTCCATTGGGACACGGCAGTCAGTGCCAGCAATGGTACCAGATCCAGACCTACTTCCTTTTGATAATGGATTCATCTAATGTTGTTTGCATGGTTGGGTCATTTTTACGCAATGTAAGTATGAACCATCCAGTTGTGTTGACAGTTCTCACATGGACCTAAAATGGTAAAAATAGTTTCCTTTGACACCTTTGGGAAAGAGAAGATTAAAAAGAGCAAATAGCTTAATAGATGAGAAAATGATACGAAATGTTACATGTTTCATCGTCTTTGAAACCTCGTGGCAACAGGAAATGAATAAGTTGTGAGAAAAGGTTTTTGAAATGAGGATAGCAATCAAAAATAATTTCATTAATTGTTTGCTATGAATGAATTTGTATTATTTTCACTGTCATTGTTCTGATACATACAAAATCTAATAGTTGAAGCTGTTGCAACATTAATTTATGTAGATTTATTTTTTAATGATATTTTTAATATTTGGTTTTTATTTAAAAACACATCAATAAAGTAAAGCACTTGTTTAGAAATTTGCAGTCCGTTTTAGCCATTTGTAACAACCGAACAATGAGTAGAAGATTCTTTCTCTTTTTCTTTTTTTTCCTCTTTCTTTGAACAGTATTTGTGACAATTTTTTGAAACATAACATATAAAATTCAATATTTTCACTGTAGAAGATGTCTTACTCAGCCGTACACTCATTCAAAGCACTAATCGGATGACAACATAGCTTGTATGTCTTCAAATGGATCATTTTTCAAAGACCTGAAAATTTCGCAGCAAAATAATCTGAAGGAATTGTAAGAAAAGACTTACAAGAGGATTCAAAATTTAATAATGAAGCGATTAAGTATATTAATAAAAATTTGCAAATTTTTATTAATATACTTAATCGCTTCATTATTAAATTTTTACTTGTAAAAATGAAGTTTTGGAATCTTAAAAACTCTTCGTACTGCAAGTGCAATGTCAATAATGAAACTCAAGCAATTTTTTACTAATATACTTAATCATTCAATTTATGTTATGAAAAACACTACAAAAAAAAAATTCACATCTTTTCACTTGACTAAGTGAATAAATAGCAGCATTAGAATAGTTCGGAATTTGGTTGTTGCTTAGAAGAGCAAGGTTACCTTAAGCCACCGCCAGTACAAGCAAATATAGGCCACAGCGCCGCGATCCAATCCCTCTTCTCAAATGAGTGGGTTCATGTCTCCTTGGGATCAGGATCAGGACTAACAATGAAGACCAAGAATCTCATAGAACTCACAGCCGTCTGGTCATGAGAAGTTAAGAAGTAGCACTGAAAAGGGGTTGTTGACAAGGTCTTCATCGACATTTCTGAAACACGATCAGAGATGCACTCTTCCGATACCTTGACCACTCCAAATTGCACACTGTACTGGATCAACTCGTATTCAAATCGGTCTCTGGCACCACCTAGAGTTCAGCCCTATACAATGCTCATGTTTTGTGAGCTCTAGACTTAAAAAGCTACACAGCACCTATGCTAGTCACAACTCTGAATGATGTAGGCTCAGTGATCGAGAAAATGAGGCACTTACTCATCTACTTTATAGACATGAGAGAAAGCATCTTCCGCTTCTGATTTGGCATCGAACCTGGGGTGCGATCTTTTCCCCATCTGGCTATAGCAGCCGGGCCGATGTCTTCATTTTCTCCTGGATCGGATTCAGATTCCTCACTCTCAACACGTTGGCTATTTGAGACTTCGCGAACATGCACAGGTGAGCCTTTGATCGACGGAGTGACAGACATCTTGCCAAAAGGTCTGTTGATCATGTCCAGGTGATGGAGGCACAGAGAGAATGCATGCTGCGCTTGTCGAGGACAGTGCCACCCGCTGCCATCGTAAAGTTTGCAGTCCGCGCGTCCTTGCTTGCTCTTACTGGATTGCCCGTTTCGGCTATGCCCTTGCTTCTTGGCCTCCTGCTTCGGAACTTCTGCAACTGAGCACGGAAGGTATTGCTTATTACCGATCGAAATGAAGTGACGTGACCTTCGAAGCACATTCGCTACTTGAACAGTGTGCCTGGCCCCACCCTCTTTGAGACCGGGGAGGTTTTGTTCCAACATTATGGCCACCACCTCACTTGCCGTGAGTCCATTCTTCCCTAGAGTGTCAAAGACAAAAAAAATTGACGCTATCAATGCCTCTTTCGAGTTCGCGACGGTGCTGACATAATCAGCGTTGTCTTCTTCAATGTACTTTTCGGTATTCCGCGATCTGAAGGTTTGGGCACTAACACACAGTTAGTTAAGTGCGTCGAGAGGAAGTTTCCGATAGCATTACAACATGGACAGTGCTAGATGTCAGATATTGCTAGATTGCAAGAAAAAGGACCTCTATGAAGCAGGTCCAAAAACCACAGTTGACGTCACGTAAATAAACTAGATTTATCAGTTTACTGCAACGCATGTCTGTCTTGAAAAGAACACACACTAGCAGCTGGCACCTTTTGTCAGCCTTAGTATTGTGGGGTGTGCTCATATTTATCATCTCCTCTGAGAATTCCTGTGAGCCAACCAACACACACCCAAACACACCTTTACATACAATGACTTGTGACCTCTAGAAGCTTAATAACCTGACATCAAAACTTCACACTCGTGAGGCGATTCCTAGGTATCCATGACTCGGGAACATTGGCTATGTCGTCATTACCGACACTCATTGTGGAACCTAGTGTATCGTCCTTTCTTTACGTCATGGGTCCAAGAGGCTATGGCGTCAAAGCGCACTAGGAAATGCATGATGACACAACTCGCCACAAGTTCGCAAATGCCATCCGCACAGGTCGACCACAACCTCGACCAAGTGACAGAGAAACGGTTTCATGACAAACCCACCTCATAAACGAAAATCTTATCCATGTGTACCGCAGGCAGGACCAGAAAAAGTTCATTCCACTCAAACCACACAAAGACATTGCATGTTCAGGTAACGGGCCCGCCATGAGGGCTCAGTACCGTGTATCGGGTGCTCTTGACCTTGCGCCTCTTTGAGAAGAGAGGGTTGTTGTGAGCTTCGTGCAGATCCTGGGCAAAATCATGCACATCACCATCTCCATGCCTACCCACGTCCAAATTGTCCACCTCCTTCACCTCCAGCTCCTAGTCCAACACAACACACTTTCATGCGCTCAGGACAAATATGTATTTGTGGCGCCACGCGTAAACCTCAAATCAAACTCATGAGTTTTATCCAGCTTACGCAACCATTCCATGTCTGCACCTTCCCGAAACTTATCGACCCGTGCAGCATTTCCCATTACCCAGAAATGCATGACCTTCTAAACCTCCCAGACCTAGGCACTTTCTCCAAGTGGACGCCGATTAAGTTCTTATCCTCCCTCGAGTGCCATCTCCATAACCTCGTCAGAAGCTGCGACTACTGCAGTCAAGCCATGACAATGCAACCCCTCCAGGTCGCCCGCACAAACCCAATCACAGATCCTACCGCAAACTCCCACCACTCCGAAAGCATTCACCATCTCCCATCCCATCCCGCGCCCAAGCTGTCCGCCATGCAAACAACTCCCACCTCCCCCCGGTTGAAATTACACAGTGCACACGATCAACTCCCCTCTCGAAATATCCAACGCGACAAAGGGAAAATCAACACGCTTCATGAGATTACCACCACATCAATGTCGACCACACTAGAGCGCTAGCTACGAACGGAGCGGAACCATGACAACACGCACGCACTCACCCGCCTCCCATTAGCCCATGACACCGAATCATGACGGTGCTTTTTGTGGCGCTGCACCGTGGAAGCCTTCCCTCCGTCAACAGTTCCATGAGTCCCTCCCACCACGGCTCCATTATCACCACCTCCATGGTCGCCATCCTTCTTAAACAGCTTCTGGTACGTGCAGGTGATGAGAGTGTGCAACGGCGGCACCCCGTCACTCTCTGCCCCTTTCTCCGACTTGCGCCGAATTTTCATTGCAATGGAAACCCTGCTGGGTAGCGACTCCGCAGTGCGCACCCCACCCCGAGGATGGAGATCATTCGCGGGGGAATGGAGCAGATTGCAAGCGAGAGAAGGCGCACAAGCAACAACAATGGAAGGAGCGAGAGAAGGAACGAGCGGGCAGGAAGGAATGAGAAAGACAATGGAAAGCGGGCTTGTCAGTTCCCCACCTCGGAAACTCCCTCGTTCACACCGCCACTATCCCCCCCCCCCCCGATCTCGGGGAGGAGTTTGGATAATTCCACGCATGGGTTGGATGAATGACGAATGGTGGATGGGGGATGATATTCTGTTTCATTCATCCTTCTACATTCATTGACACGTCTGATTAAGGTCGGGTCGCGGGATTAGGAGCGTGCCCGCGGGATTAGAGGGGTTGGAATGACCGGTACTTGTTTTTCCCTTCACCTGCAGCTACAGAAGTATTTTTTGCGTGTAGATTGTTAGTAGCATATTTGTATTCACAACTTTTTATCTACTTTTTATTTACATATATAAAAATGAAACTTTTTCATGGAATTAATTGTATTATTAATTGCTTAAGTGCCTTTGATGCAGTTCAAAATTATAACTTTATTTTTTTATATTAAAAAGAAAAATATTACTTTTTAACATCCAAACTTTCTGATTAACAAAACACAAAAATAATAATCCAATAAAATTAAGACGACATATCACTCAAATAAAAAGAAATTAAAATATTCATTACAAATAAGCCAATATTCTAGTTAGTGGTATAATAGTTAGCTTATTATACAATTAGAGGAATTCGATACATACCAAGTTGAGATACGTATTCAAAATGTTTTTCTTTGGGAAGAGATTTCGTAAATATATCCACTACCATATGTGTGGTTGGCACATATTGCAATTTGATTTCCTTGACAAGAATCTTTTCTCTAATGAAATGGTATTGTGTATCCACATGTTTGCTTTTAGAGTGATATTTTGGATTTTCACTAAAAACAATGGCACTTTGACTATCAAAATATATGGTAGTTGATGCATGTCGAAGAAATCTAAGTTTATGTAATAACTTTCTTAACCATATGACTTCGGCTAAGGCTTTTGTTAAAGCCATATAATCTAATTCTATGGATGATAAAGCTACAAATTATTATTTCTTAATGCCCTAAGAGATAATTCCTCCAATTAGTAAGAATCAAAATCCAAAGATAGAGCAACAAATGTCCTTGTCACTTGCCCAGTCAGCATGAGAATAACCATGTAGAATATCACATTGAGATAGGTGTTGATATTTGATTTCAAAATTTTATGTACCTTTTATATATCTTATAGTTTTTTTCAAAGTTAAAATGTGTATAGAGCTTCATTTAGAGAAATATTGTGCTAAATTGCTAATAGCATAAGTACAATCTCGTGTAGAATTAACAATGATATACATTAAATTGCCAACAACTTAAGAATAGGAATAATTTTACGAAGTAATGTGGTCTTCATTACTTAAACGAATTTTTGGTTGAATTGGGATACTTAATGGATTGAAATTCAACATATTAAATTCATAAAGTTCATTTGTTAAATATTTTGCTAGATAGAGTATTATCCATCTTTCTTCTCAATTTCTTAGAATGACATTGCTTAGAATGGAATGAATTTCTCTTTCATCTGACATATCAAATTCTTCTTATAAAATATCTTTTACTTCGTGAATTAAAAGAATCTTCTTGCTAACAATGATACAATCATCAACATAGACTGTAGTTATGATGAAATCCTTTTCATTGTTTCTTTTATAATAAATATTTGCATGTGAATTTAGACATTGATATTTATGAAGAAATAAGTATTGATCTAATCTTTAATACCATACTCTAGAAGATTGTTTAAGATCATGTAGGGATTTATTTAACTTACATACCTTATTAGTATGTGTAAGAGGTAATCCTTTTAGAATAGTAATATAGACAACTTCTTCTATAAAACCATTTAAAAATATTATTTTAACATCTAGTTGATGTAATTTTAGATTATGTTGAGCGGCTAAGTCAAGAAGAACTTTGATGGAGTTAAGTGTGACTTTGGAAGAGAATATTTCTACGTAATCAATGTCTTGAACTTGGATGAAAGTTCTTACAACTAACCTTGCTTTATACTTGTTAATACTTCCATTAGCTTTAGTTTTGATTTTAAAAATCCATTTTAAATTGATTGATTTTCTATTAGGTAGTAAATTTGTCATTTTTCATGTATTGTTCTTGTTTAAGGATGTAATTTTAGAATTGATTTTTTTTTGCCATCCTTGAGCATTATCCCTCTCCATTACTTCTATGATGGTAGAAACAAGGTGGGCTTGGTAATGCCTATGAAAATGGCATTTATACTCTTTTCTTCCTTATGTACACTCTTACAACTATGTGGTTGTTTTAATAATTCTTGTTGATTGAGAACTAGAAGGAAGATTTGGATCTTGCAATATAGATTAGACTTTAATATGTTCAAGAGGTAATATCTCGTCATCATTGGATAATGATAGTTGAGAGAAGTTGTTGATGATATCAATTTGAGAAGGAGGTTGTTCTGCCATATTTAAAAACATAATATGTAGTAGATGTTGATCAAATTCATAGTTGTCTTGGAGGTGTAGTATTGGTGGTGAAGACATCCCTTGAACAAGAGGGATGTTTTGTTGATTGGTCTTTATAGTTGTTGTAGGATGCTTAAATAATTCTAAGTCTATTAAGAATTCTTTATTGTCCTTTTGCAAGTATGTTGCTTGTGGATCATGTAAATTCTCATTGAAAATAACATCTCTTGAAATGATAATTTTCTGATTTTTTACATTCATAAGTCTATAGGCTTTAGATTCTTTTCTATAGCCTAAAAAAATAGCTTCTTATGAATAAGTATCTGACTTCTTTCTTGTTTCTTTAGGAATGAATATATGAGCTTTGCAACCAAATATTCTAAGATAAGATAAATTTAGTTGGTATTTGTACCATAATTCAAATGATGTTTTGGTATCTTATATAAATTTTATAGGGTTCTTATTTTGGAGGTAATTGGTAGTTTGGAGTGCCTCACCCTTAAATAAATTTAGTCAAGTTTAAATAGGATAGCATTGCAAGAACTGCTTCTATTAATGTTCTATTTTTCCTTTCAAAAATACCATTTTATTGTGGTGTATAAGTTGTAGTATATTCTTATTTGATTCCTTCTTTGTTACATAAATCTTTAAATTTATTTGATTTATATTCATCTCCATTATCAAATCTTAAGGTTTTTATTTTTGAACTTATTTATTTTTTTACAATTTTTTTTATATAAGGTGAATTTCTTAAATGCTTCAAATTTGTATTTCATCAAATGTATTTGGTAATATCTTGTTAGATCATCAATAAATGTGATGAAGTAAGTATATCCTAAATGTGTGCCTACTTGCATAGGACTACAAATATTAAAATATACAAGTTCTAACAATTGGATAGCTTTTTAAGTATCTTATATTGTTTACCTTCTATGCAAGGTTGTCATAAGGTAATTTTCTTTTCATCAAAGAAGTCAATCTCATTTACCATTGTTTGTATTTTTTTAAGTCTTTGTTGATTTATGTGTCGTAGTCTTAGATATCAGCTTTATTGAATTAAGCCATTGCTGGAATTGCAATTTGAAGCTTGTTTAAAAGTATTGTTGTCCCTAATTCATATAAATCAGGATTCAATTTATAGATTACAATGGTGTTATCAAATTTATTGATAAGTATAGTTGTTCTAGCTCTTATGCAAATTTCTCCTCTTGCTTTATCCAATTATTTAGCACAGAATAAATTCTTGGCAAGTCTTAGTATATATAATACATCAAATATGATCTTTTAATTACTATTTATGAGTTTGATATTTACATCACCATGTCTTTCTATGATGTATGTTATAGTATCATCTCCTAAGTAAAGAACTTGTTTGTCTTCATTTTTTATGTATTTGACAAATCCTACTAACTCATAATACATATATTGAGTTGCTTCCGAGTCCACATACCATATTGAATTTGAGTTTTTTTTAACGATAAATATTACCACATATAGTTTATTTGATTTTATAATAATATTTGTTTCTTTTCTAGTATTGCAATTTTTATTTCTTATTCTAGTTCTGCAATCTTTGATCAAGTGACCAACTTTCTTCCAAAAAAAACACTTCTTGTGAATAGCAAAATTGCTCTTTTCATATAGCTTGGAGATATTACTCTCTTCTCGTAGACTCCTTTTGAAATTCTTAATAAAATAAGATTTCTTGTTGTTATTTTGAAATTTCTTACATACATATAGGGCTGAATTATTATCAAATATTAAACTCATGTTTTTCATGACTGTTTTTTTCTAGGATCAAATCTATTATCAAAGATGCTAATGTGATCCTAAACTACCTTCTCAAGGAGCTAATATAGGATCTATAACTTAAAGGTAAACTTCTCATTAAGGTGAGAATTGCTTCATCATCTAGAATTTCTGATTTTACTACCAACAACTGTTCTATATGTACTCTAAAGATATGTATGTGTTTAATAACACTATCACCTTTTCTCATTTTTAAGGTATATAATTTTTCTTTTAAAGACATCTTAAATATTAAACTCAAATATTAAACTCAAATATTATATAATTCAAATATTTTTATTAATTCTTGCCATCCTAAATTTGCTGATATATAAGATTGTATGTGTAAAACAATGTTGTTATCTAGGAAATTGTTGATTATGGTTAAAGACAAGATATCCTTGTCTACCCATGCACTTATATACCCTACTCCTATAGTAGATAAAGCTAGGATTCTAGCAGCAACTTCAACTACAGTTGATTCCACTAGTAAGCATTCTTCACCACTTACTATGGACTATAACTTTTTAGCATTAAAAACTAATATTAATCTATGTTTCCATATATTAAAGCATGGACCATCAAATTTTGGAACATGATGTCCACTTTCTGTATCATCTTCAATACTCTTAATTTGAAGTTGAATTGAAATTATTTATTAATTGAAATTGAATTGAAATTATTTATTAATTCATTCTTGATCAATTCAATTTTACCTTTACTTATTGTTTGTATGTTGCTAGTTTCGGATTTAAAACTGCTTCTCATGGTTTATCAATCTGGCTGGTTTGTAAATTTAGAGAAATTAAGGTAGGGGTAAATGACATCTTCCTCTGAGTCGGAGATGCACTGTTTTTTTTTTGCAGACATTGCACCAAGTTACTCTGAATGAACCATGTCGTCAATAGATACGATGTTGCAAAAAGTGATCTACTCCGCGCTTTCATCAGGTAGTTTACTGATGAGTGGAATCCGGGTAAAGTGAAAACTTGTCTGTGGCGAAATGCCTCACGGCAACTGGCTGAAGGGTGGTAGAGGATGATGATCATGACTGTTCAAGCCACTATTCAGATCTATCCACTCCATCACCCACTTACTGGATCGTTTCCTCAACCAATTAATACACACCTACAAGTGAAGAATCGGCACATACATCTGATAATGGTGCCTAACTAATTTCGCCTATTGTTCAATAGATATTTTTTAATATATTATCTTCTTCATCACAACTTGGCTTTCTACAGTTAGCGAAATAGAAAACTGATCTTTAATAAGAAATGATCAGAGAATGTGCAATGGACTTGTGAAACTCCGATGAAGAATTGCAGTAAGTTGTAAGACTCTAGGCAACCTTGTTAGGTGATCCATCTACTTTTAATACACAATGAGCGACACTCGCTAAATTTTCAGATTTGGATCAGGATTGAGTCATCTGGGACCTAATTAATCGATGAGATATGCTCATGTGCAGTGATGGATGCAAGGCCTTGCTTGTGCAAGATGTGTGGTTCTTCATCTTCAAAGAACAACAACGCGGGCAGGTGTGCAGGAAGAGGAAGAGCTGGCATTGGCGCCTTGTGGCTTGCAGTTTATGATATTAACTGTTTTTTCCCCCTTAACTAAGAAAATGAGCTTGATGGAAGCATTGGTGAGGAAGAACACTCTCTGATGAGGAGATAGAGCTTCTTGCTGATCAGTTTTTTAAAAAATGAAACTCATTTGCTTCCTTTAATAAGGAAGTTCTCTAATTGTAAACCAAACTAATTCCATTTTTTCTCAATTCGCTGCTTGTTAAAGACGAGGTGTGCATTGTGGGTACTTGTTGGTCGAATACATGCTATCCCCTTCACTTGAGTACAGGTAATTCACCATGTTTTTGCATCTGGCAAGTGTTTTTGACAGTGAGTTGGTTGCGTCCCAATGGCAGATGCGTGAGATGTAGAGTAGAAAACCGCGACCCAAAACTATGACCACAAAATGATCATGATATGCTTGGGTACCTGGCGTTACGACCCTGAAGTTGTTCGTCATTCTGAACGTTGTAAAGCTTGGCTAATGTCACCTTGATGGTGCAAAGAACCTCCTACTTGGATCTGGTCCGAAAGGCATCTAATAGTGATGTCGTGTAACTTCGAACAAGTGAAACTTTTGATTCATACATGAGGATGCACTTGAACTCGGAAGAACTGGCTGGTTAGTTTGAGAGATGCATGTGAAGGCTGTCGTTGTGCACCTGACTACGGAAGTGAAAAGGAGGTAGGAGATTCCTGTGAAGACACTAAACCTATTTTTAAGTTGAGTAAATCAGTGATAATATCACTGCTTATGCTTCCTTAGGATCTTGTAAAAGGTACTTTCTGTTCTGGAAATCCTCAAAGCATCACTCCGAGCTCTTCTTTGACTCTGCGCTTGAGACATGTCAGGTGTAATGATCACCTTCATGTAAAGGAACCTCTTGAAGGTAGTTTAAAGAACCTTCACTTTGAGCACTTGACAGTTTACATTACGTACTTAACAGTTGCAACTAGCCACCAGAACTCCCAAACCTCGTTTTATATTCCTTCCGTTTCCCAGCAACCACGACGTCGTCCTCTCAAGGCACTGCGTTTCGTACTTAAAAATTAAGCTAGACATGATCCAGATGAAACCAACCCATTTCTTCTAACGTGAAGAAAGTGAGTATCTGCTCCAAGCATAGACTGTCATCCAACTCATACACGCCTCAGAGCAGAGGAGCTCTTGGCGTCAAATGATTCAGTTCCACTGCTGCAGTAGTCGGTCCCTCTTCAGCAGACAAGTGGAAAGATTCAATAATAACCTAGATGCGAAAGTTCACGCTGATAAAGAACGTTCACGCTGGGTATATGTCAAATGCAAACCAGTGAGTCGTTCAACTCATCCACGAATCTGAAGCATCCCAACATGGACACTACCTCGTGTGTCACTATCTGAACCTGCACTGATCCGAAAGCACGGATTCTCATCACAAATCGGTTTGTAAACATGTATCAGAAAATCATAAAAGAACACATCAAGATTTTTGGATGTAATTGTTATCTGAGATAGATAGCCCTGGCGACGGTTCACTTCACCACTGGACATCAATCTTCTGAATCAACCTTTGAAGTCACAGTGTTGCAACTCATCCGGATATAGAATTTGGTGTGAAGCTCGAAGCTCGATTTGTGAGTAGCGTTTCGTCGTCGGAGTCAATTGCAGAAAATGGATACAATTGTTGTAAACTTTGTGTTAAACTTCTAAATAAATCTAACTGCATAGTTTATAGAATTTTTAACACTATGAACAGACAGTTGCAAAATTGCTTTAAAAATTTAATGGTCTAACAATTAACCAATGTTTGATGTTTTGATTACAGGTCATAGAGTTAATTTTATTCCATTCATATTTTAGGACTCTTTTTAAAATTCAAAATTTGATGAATTTCAAGATTTTGATTAATATCATATCATTTCTGCTTATTTTACAATGATTCTATAAAAAAGAATTTAAAAAATTAACAAGATTAAGAAATTACTAATTATAGACACATACATATATGGACACAAACATTATTTACATAAATAGACATATACATGTATTATAAATTCAAATCAGAATTTTTTCTTTACTTAAATTTTAAAAATTCAAAATAATTACAAAATATATTTTATAAATAAATAAACTTAAAATATTGGTTAGTTGTAAGTCTTTATTAATAAAAGGAAAACTTATTAATTTAGCACCATTGTCCCAAAATATATTTGTATTTATCTATAAAAATATAATTATACAGATATTTAAAATAAAATTTTCAATACAATAATAAACTACAAACCCAAAATTTTGAATATAAAATTAGTAGATTAGTGGTTTCCGAGTATTAATTAAAAAGTGCCTTTATTTTAAGTATGATAGTTTTTTTTATTGGAACAATATAATATTTACACCACATGTCTATTTTTAAACTTAATTATAGTTTGTATTCTAATTTTACAAATAATGCCACAATTCGACTTCTCTAATGTAACTAATATATTCCAATGATACATTAATCTAAAAAAATAGATAAATCATATTAGAAACTTAATAAATATAGAATTTATCTTGCATGCTAAAAAATAACTTCATACAAAAATTGAATAAAAAATCATATTATATAATGCCAAAGTATATCAAAATATTTTCATATATTATTTTTAATTAAAAAAATATTTCTTATAATAAAATTCAATGATTATTTATAATAAAACAAAGATTCTTCAAAATACATTAAAAATGGGGCGGCCAAGGGGATCACAATCTCAGCATCAGAAGTGGATGAATGAATCTGTCATGGATGAACACAGTCTACTTTTTTGGATGGATGCACTGCGACGGATGATGTTCGGAGCGGGGTTTATGAAGCAAGCAGCGACGCTTGGCGGTAGAAGCCAAGCTCGGGGTCGGATTTCGATGGACTCTGCCACTTGTTACTGCTGTTGCTCGCGCTTGGGAATCGATCATGTCAGATTTCGGAGCAGCAGGGGAGCTGTTATTCTAGTTAAATTGTGAAGGAAAACATCCTTTTATTTCACGGACCCGGCACTGGTAGGCTCCGCTCCGTGTTTAAACTTCGCGAGTCATGGAGCAGCAGGTTGCGCCTGCGGAATTGTTGAAGTGAGTGAATTTTTTATTAACCTATTCTCTGTTAATTGAAGTTAGGCGTAGAAGGAGTATGGTCGAACAGATCGAAACCTTTTAATCAGGTTTTGCAAAAGTGCTTCACAGAATTTTTGTAGAATTCATTTAGGGTGTTGACGGGAGAAAATCATAGTTTGACGGTTGTGGTGCAGCTGTACTGCATACGATTGGGTAAAATTCAGCTCACAAGACTGCGAATTGAAGGTTTCTGATTGGTTTGATGTGGTCAGGTTTAGGGTTTAAACGGGTTTTTTTTTATTGCATTTCTGTGATTTGGTTTATTATTGAGGTTTCAAGGTATTTGCTAATCAAGGTTGACGCATTCAGGTTTTTGCAGGCGGAAGCTGAGACGTTGCAACAATTGCAGGCCAAGATTTCAAATGAGCTTCATCATCTTCAGGTTCGTGTCAATCCTGACCTGGAAATGAGATGATTTTAGTCCGCTTCCATGGAGAGTTTGATTGAGATCTGTAACAATATCTACCAGTCAATCTTTTTGATATTCAGCATGTCCTTTGCCATGGACTTGAAATGCTTTACCCTAATTCGCCTATTGTTTCGGAAGGATGTAACAGGTTGAGGAGGAAGTATTTATCCGCACTCTTGACCGGCTCAACCAGAATGCAGCAAATAATCATAGCAGCTCCACGCAGGCAAGCCTTGAAATATTGATCTCGTTTCTCTTACATGCATTGTTCCTTTCTCGATGTGTTCGTACTTAAAGCATGCGAGTGGCATTTGAACAGGGAAGCAGTGGTGAAGGTACCACGACACGCCAGGCAGGAGTAGAGCTGCTAGATGCTTTACAGCAAGAATTAGCTTTAGCGATTCCTCCAGTATCCACATTGCCTGCAGATTCTGGTCCACAAACAGTACCAGTGCATCCGGTGACTTCGTTGCCTAAAGAATCCAACTCGCCAACATCACTGCAAGCGATTACTGCGACGGAAACGGTTGATGATAAGAACATGCCAGTAAAAACACAAGTAGGTTCCATGTTTGTTTTAAAAAATTGTATGACCATTTTCGTAGCCTGATGCATTGTAATTTCTTGGCTAATTTGGAAGATACTGATTGTGATAACCAGACAGCCGCTTCTTCTGATTTTGGCTTTGACGATGATGAATACGAGGAATATCAACTGCTGAACACGTTGGAATCTGGAGACGAGTAGGTGCAGCATAGCATCGGATAACATTGTCAGCTCCTGGTTTTTTTGCCTTCTAGAAGGGATGTGATAAGAATGTCTATAGACTCTTCTCTTGTGATGTGACAGAATTTTTCCCCAACTAGAGAAACCTATTTACTTTTCCTTGAGAATGTATGCCAGAAAGGAACCCTGCTCTTTATGGATTGCACATGGTTAATCGTTCCAATCGAGCAGAGCCTTTACTACTTCCTGTAGACAAGCCTGGTTTTACCCGGCAAGGGTTTTTCGGTTGTTGCATTACATAATTACCATCATGAATATATTGCAGGTATTACCAAATAGGTGGTAGGAAGTGTTGAGAAACAGCGATGTTGTGAAAAGCTGCGACTTGTATAAACTTAGTTTTGCGTTCTTGTGACGTTGATTTGTACTGTTTGTAGTGTTTGTAACAGTTGCAAAATAATGGTTACATGTTATGGAGTTTGACCTTTCTTTCTATTGAGCTTCTGATTTTGAAACTTTTTCTCATATTGTGAAAGCTGTATGTCGTATTTGCTATGATTTGATTTCGCCTACAAAATCATAGAATTCCGTGTGGTCGCAATTGATAAGTATGATGATGCGATTCAGTCCATGTTCTTCATGATCCTGTGCACAGAACACTTCCAGAAGGACCAAAATGTTGGGTAGTGGTAAATTCCTGCTTTTTTACCAGCTTATTTATCAATTCTGTAGTCTCAGCTGGCAAGGTAAAGCTGTAGCAAATGCTGTCATTTCATCACCGTTAAATTGTGGTTCTCTTTCGGTGTTTTCTTAGATTAGTCATCACACTGGGTGCAGGTGCAGGACGACTTGGAAGTGGTAAGTCTTCCTGTTGTGAAGACAGCCTGATGTAGAGTACAGTTTTCTTGGCGAACTATGCTAGTCGAGGTCTGCTCTGACATGTTTAGAAAGGGAGCAAATAAACTAGGGCTTCTTCGAATAAAGTGTAGATGACAAGAGAAATCCAATCGATGTGTGAGAAGCCAATTTCCCTCCAGGTGGTAAGAGGAGTCGGCAAATTTTTGGAGTGACGTGAAGAAGCCAGAAGATTAGGGTTTGGCCCTGCCTGGACGGAGAGTGTTGAATTTGCAGGTAGATTCAAGCAGTTTTTACGACAACTTAGGTCCGTTTAGAAGAGATGTAAGTAAAAGAGACAACTATATATATATATATATATATATATATAAATATATATATTAAAAAAATAAAATGGATTGTGCAAAATTTAAGTAGATAAATTCTTATGTTGTAAGGATTTGAAACAATAGTTGCTTGATGGGAAGAAATACATTAAGATCATGTGCAAATAGTGTCTTGGTTGATTTCATATTAGATATGATTGAAGCTATGTGGGATTTTTAATAAAAGTAAAAACTTATGATATTTGTAGTTAGAAAGAAATTGTGATAGCTGAAATAGATTTTTCGCAATGTCAAGTCTTTATTATTAATATTTTTTGGGTAGCTTATATATAAGTAATTTTATATTTGGCTATATGATCTAGCAACATTAGAAAAATGTCCACTATTCATGTACATGCATATTAATAGTGGTTTCTTTTATCTAAAAGTTGTCTAGAAATAATTTTCAAAAACTTTAATTATGTCATTTTATTAAACAACACATGAAATATGTACATTCTAATTTGATAATCCTAATATTGATTTTAAGGTATAGAACAAAGATATGTCATTTAGTTTTAAAATGATTTGATTTTTGACCTAGATAATCTTTAAAATATATTTAAATAAATTCATTGAAATTGTTTATAGATAGAACATAAGTTGAAAGAAGTTCTTGACTTAAGTCCAAAACACAAGTTTCAAACATATCAATCTTTTTTGGTTGTAAAATTTCATGGTTGGAAATTAAAAGAAATAAATATCAAGAATATAATAATTGGTGGATTAAAAACTTGGCCAATAAATTGGTGGATTAAAAACTTGGCCGATAAATTGGTGGATTAATGTTACAAACATTATTCTAAATTAATATATTTTGGTTTCTAATATTGATTCATTCTTCAAAGAGCTTGACAACATTCATAGGGTGAAATTTTCATTTATTTCCAATGTCAACCATAGAAGTATTGTTCCTAAGTCTATAAAAGAAGTCATGTTTATAGCCACATTTGGAAAAGATAATTAAAAAAAAGATAGCTAAGACAAAAATCATATTTTTATAACAATGATTACAATCAATTATTATATATGCTATTGAATTCAAAAACCTTATTTACAAAGTTGGTTGAAATGACAAATCATTTATTAATCAATTTGAATATGGAATTAAAAAACAATATCAAAGACTTATTAATGACTAGGCTAAAAGCACATTCATTGGAATAATTTATTACTTGAGCTACTGCATGTAATAATCAACTTTTTATCAAGAATAAAGATTTGGATAAAGACAAATAATTCAAGGTAATAATATAAAACTCCTAAATTTTTAGGAACATATTCATTAATACTCAAATCTATGCAAACTGATACAATACATTTCAAATCTTTCACTAAGTAAAAAAAAAAAAAAAAAAAAAAAAAAAGACTCAACATCATTAAAAAGGATTGTACTTATATTGTGGAGAATCTAAGTACATTGCTCAACATTATACAAAGAATCAATGCAATCACAAAATGAAGAGCATGGTTGTCAAAGAGCAAGGAACATGGTTGTCAAAAAGCTTCTCGAGAAGATATAAGTTTTACACATAGCATCCTATCTTTTGATAATATCTTGTGGAAAAGCTTCATAGAAAAGATTCGACTTTATACATATTTTAATGTGATTAATAGGTTAAAAAATTAGTCAACAAGTTAGCCATGTATTGCATATGTTAGTGAGTTATGATATAAATTGGCCATATGACACATATGTAAGAAATTTATTTTGCAAGTTAGATATGCATCTTACAAATTGAACACATATTAGAGGTCCTATAGAATGTCATTATATATCTCTTAATTAAATAATATATATAGAGATAAGAGTGAAGTCTTATTCCTTCTTGTTAATATCTTTCATGTCCTTAGTCTTGTTTCTAAAGCTTCTAGTATTCTTGTCTTTTGCAGTAGCCATTTTAGTTTATAATTATATAACCTTTGAGTGATTTTTTATTTTTTTCAAGTGATACATTAATAAATTAATCTTTTTTTTCTTTATTTATTTTCTTAGCACCAATATATAGCTTATTATATAAAAAGTTGGCTATATTTAAGAAATATATTAATAAAAACTTAGCCATGGACTTTATATGCCAATTGAAATTTTTAATAAGAACTCTTATCTTATTTGTAAAGAAAAAAGATGGATTATTGCAGATGTATATAGATTATGAAAGCTTCAATAAAATCATCATCAAAAATAGATACTCTCTATTTTTTATATTAGAACTTTTTCATTAATTAAATTAAATAAAGATCTATAAAAAAAATAGATCTAAAAGGTACATATTATTTGATATATATTAAAAATAAATAAATAAATAAAATATTATATTTTAAACTAAGTATAAGCATCTTGAATATAATGTCATGCCTTTTAAATTCATGAATGCATCAACTAATTTTTTAATATATAATAAATGATGTTTTTTGAGATTTTTTAGAAGTTTTTTTTTTTTTTTTTTTTTTTTTTTTTTAAAGGATATTTTAGCATAAGAACACAAAAAAAAAAAAAAAAAAAAAAAAAAAACATGAAATTTATGTTTTTTATGTATTACAAAAAAATAGTGATGTAAAATTATATATCAAGATAGAGCAAGGTATATTTTATACAATTCAAGTTGACTTCTTAGGTTACATCATTTCAAATGATGGTCTTATAGTAGATTCTAAGAAAGTTCAAACTATCATAAATTGGAAGTTTTTAAGAATAATAAAAAATATCCAATATTTTTTAAGAATTATCAATTATTATTGAATCTTTATTAGGAACTTTGCTTAAGTTATAGTTCTACTTAAAAGTTTGACTTGTAAAAATAAACTTGAGTAGAAACTTAAGAATCATTTAAAACTTTGAAGAAAGTTTTTATTTTTGTACTAACCTTGTATTGTGTGAATTTTCAAGACACTAATTTATATAAATAAATATATCAAAAATTTCCTTGGATGTAGATTGTCACAAATGGAAATAGATGACAGACTTTACTCAACAGTTTTTTTTAAAAGTTATAATAACCAAGATCAACTACAAGATCCACAATGAAAAAATAAAAATAAAAAAATAAAAAAATAAACTTCTTGTAATTGTAAATATATTTCAAAAATGACACTGTTATTTTGAAGGTCCTTTTAGTCCAAAAATTTTATATACATATCACAAAAATATTTAATATTTCATATCAATATGTATTATAAATCATTGATATGCCAATTGAAGCATATCTTTATTAAGATTTAAATTCAAGATTATATATCAACTAAAAATAATAATATTTATCAAATACCTTTTTAGAAGTTCTTACCTTATATAAAAAGAAAGAAATGGAACTTATAATGAATAATAAAGTATTATTTTGAAACCTAATAAATTTCATCTTTGAGCTATAAAATTAACATTAATTCTTAATTCAACTTTTTTTAAGCAAGTTCAATCAAGTATGCCATTAAATCTTGTTATTCATGATATTAGAAATAATTTATTTAAATTTCATGATACTTTTAGATTTGAGTTCAAGAAAAATCTTCTCTATTTTTTGGAATGCTATATGTTCTAGAAGATGAAGCATAATTATGTATTCTTTAAACTTATCATAATTTTTTAATTATAATATATTTTGATACAAAAAGACTTTGTAGTTAATATTAAGAGATTTTTAGTCGCTTCAAATATAGAAAGCATTTAAAGGCTTTTTACAATCAAGTAATAATGTTCAAGATTAAAAACTTCTCATTATTACCTTATGGGCATTTCCAACTACTACATAAATAAAATAAAAAAATCATAGTCTTTTGTTTCTATAGATAGTATCAAAAATCTTCTCATTTCAAGTTCTTACGGCTTAATATTTGTAATAGTAGATTGTTTCATCAAGATGGCATATTTTTTACTATGCAAAAAAATTATCATAAGTGAAGAAGCAACTAATTTTTTTTTCAAAATATTTATTACTATTATCATTTACAAAAAAATATTATATTAGATAGAAGGGCTCAATTTGTATCAAGGTTTCAAAGAATTCCTTTTAAGATATTGAAGGTGAGCATAAAATTATTTTTAGCTTTTTATCTTTAAATATATAGACAAACATAATGGTTGAATCAAGTTTTAGAGCAATATATGAGATATAACATTAACTACCATGAAGATGATTGGAGAATTTTTTTGCCATTGGCAAAGTTTTTTTTATAATAATACAATGCATTTTTCTACTTAAAAAACATCTTTCTATGCTAATTATAAATATCATCTATAATTTGATGTTTTTGATATTTTAATAATTGATAATCAAACAACAAAAGGTTTAAAAAATTATTTATCAAAGCTACATAGAACAATTAAAGTACAATCAAAGAAAGCTCAAGAAGTATAAGATATCAATACAATTACTAATTGTAAAAAACAAGTTCAATTTCATATTAGCAATAGAGTATGGTTATTTTGTCATAATATAAAGACTAATTAATCTTATGACAAGTTCAATTATTGTAGACTTAGAGCATTTTTTGTTAATAAATATATTTATATAATCACATATAAATTATACCTAATAAAGACTATGAAGATCTATCATATCTTTCATATGTCTCTTCTTAAGTCACACAAGAGAATAGATATAGCAATAAGAAAAAAAATATATCATTTTATATATATAGAAATAGATAATGATAAAAAAATTAAAATTAAAGAATTTTTAGATCTAAGATCATTCCAAAATAGGTTAGAATATCTTATACATTGGCACAAATATGTTATTAATCAACACACATGGAGGCAAACAAAGAATCTTACAAATGCAATAAAAAATATTGATGGTTTTCATCAACAACACTGAATAAAACCAAGATAAAGAATCAAATAATTTTATGCTATAAAAAAAATGAGATCTAATAAATCTTACATTCTATCATCTTTCTTTGTTTGTGGTCTTTTTATATTTATAGTGTTAAAAAAATGAAGAATCAACAACTAATAAATCCAACTAAAGAACTATTATTTGTTAAGTTACTAATTGAAAACTTTACCAATAAGTTAGCTACATATTGCACATGTTAGTAACTTATGGTATAAGTTAGCCACGTGTTGCATATGTTGGTATCTTATGATACAAGTTGGCCATTTGGCACATATATAAAAAAACTTGTTTTGCAAGTTAGACATGTATCTAGTATGTTGAATACGTATTGAAGATCCTACAAAACATTGCTACAAAACTTCTAGTTGGATAGTATATATAGAGACAAGAATGAGGCCTTTTTTACTCTTATAAATGCCTTTTTTTTATTTATTTTTACTCTTATTTTAAGAGTCTCTAGTCTTCTTGACTTTGGCAATAGTCATTTTAGTTTTAATATTATACTAACTTTCAGTGATTATTTATTTTTCTCTAGAGGCATAAGTGTATTGAGTCTTTGATTCTCTGTAATTCATGTCTTTAATAAACAAACAACAAAAGCAATACAATATTAGAAAAAAAAAATACTTATAAATATAAAATTAATATATATATATATATATATATATATATATACTATTTGATATAAAGATACTATGGTTTTGCATTATAATTTTTAATATAAAATAAAAATATTAAAATCATGTATATATATATATATTAGATTTGTTATAATATAAATATACATTGGTATTTAAAAAATCAAAGTTTATGTAAAGTACATACAAATATATCAAACTTTAAGTTAGTAGAATAATTAATTATAAATAGATACAAAATATAAAAGATTTTAATTTACTAGCTTTGTATTGAGTAGAATCTAATACAATAAAATTGTATTTGTTAAATATTAAAGATACATGCATAATAAAAACTATAGTAATTTGTAAAGATGTTAATTTTGTTTAGATAATTTGATGTATATATCAAAAAAATGTAATTAGAATAAAGTTACAAATTACTTTATTTTGGCTAATTATCAAATATCAATTGTGTTTTTTCTATATTAAAATATATCTAGATTTATTATTTAAAGATAATGATAAGAGCAAAGATCTTAAAACATTTTTTTAATATTTGCTTCATGATCAAAGATAAGGTGCATTATTTAATAACAAAGAATTTACAAACAAGTGTAAATTTAATAAACATGAAAATCTTTATAAAGCAAAAAGGCAAATAAGTAATATTGTTCTATATAAGAGATAATAGTTTGATTTTTTTTATTTCAAAATATATTTTATTGTATTCAAAAGAAGAATTTGTACTTGAGGTTTCAAAATGTTGGAATTTTATTAATTAATTTGTATATTATTTAGAGCTTGAAAGAGTTTTTAGATTCTTTAGGTGATAGTAGATGTGTTTATTAGAGCTTTGGTTTCAAGAATATTAAATAACTAGATGCATGCAACAATCACTTGTGGCTTTAGATTTTTTACTTTCTATGATGTAAAAAAATAAGATCTAAAAGACTCTAAGAACAAGATTTTTATTGTTAAATACATAGATGGAAAATGGCTTTCAATAATTAAAAGTTGAAAATAGAATTTAATATTTGTATTTTTAAATCAAAGACATAATACAAAAGATTTTAGATTAAATTAGTTTATTAATCGTAAATAATTAATAATTAATACTATCAAACAAAATAAATCAATATTATTACTTATTTTACTAAATTAAGCCAAATAAGCTTATAAAAATATTAATATCTATAAATTTATTTTAAAATAAATAAAAATAATTTAAATATCGAATATAATATGAAATAAAAAAATATTAGGTTTGAACCTTGAACATCAAAAGAAGCTACATTAATCCACTATATCTATTACAAAGAAGATTTTGTAAATGTTTGGAAGATACATTTTAATAAAAATTGCTTCTACTTTATATGAATTATGTATATCATGCTTCCCAAAGATAGTTCTTTACTAATTTTGAGACTACTCTTAACCTAAATACATTTTAGATAAGACAATAAGAATTATTAATAAATTAGCTACAAGTCTCAAATGATGGAAGACTCACAATTGTATTTATAAAAAGAATCGAGAGTCAGCCTGCGTTTATAGGCGATGTGGAGAATCAGATGACCGGTGTTGCTGCAAGCGTGCATAATGAAGCAGGCAGTTCTCAGAGCGGCACCGGTGGAGCCCAACAGCCACTGCCACCGACAAGTATAACTCTAGAGGAGTTAGGAGACATAAACCGCCGATGGATGGAGGATGCTAAAGCTAAACGGCAATTGCCACGGAGTTCGATGTCTCTTCAGGAGTTAAAAGTCAAAAACCGTCTGTTGATCAAGGAGAACCCCAACAAGCTTTTCCGCGAATCTTACTACATGTGGAAGGAGACCGACGATTTCTTCGTCGTCAGAGCTGAGAAGAAGAACCAGAAAATCGGCTCTCTGTATAATGAGATTTATCAGTTGATAGGGTTTTTCAGTGTCTTCCAGGGCGTGATCCTCATTGCATGTGCACAGTCAAACTTATTGACCTGTCACAACTGGTGGACGACTTTTTTTCTGAGCTTACTTGCGTCTCTGGTGACCATCTTCGGGGTGATTCAAAAATTTAGGACTATTTTGACCTTGAAGGAGACCATACAAACCGAAGATGACAGTCGTAAGGTATTTCAGCTCCTTTACCTCTGCTCTACTCCGCCTTCGTCGACTGTGTTATGATGGATTCCTTTTCCAAAATTGCGAATGAAATTCGGATATGCATACAATTCCAATGTCGGAGTTTCGTCGGCTTTGTCGAATCGTGCAAGAATGATTTCGCTATTTGGTGTTTGTAGGATTGTATACGGTTTAGTAAACGGCTGTTGGAGAAGCGAGAAGCGTTTTGCTTCAAACGGGATGCCTCAGAGGAGCCAGAAAAGCCTCCTCAGTCGCGTAAGTGGCCTGCCATAGGTGTCATCGTTTTACTTTTTTTATTTGGGGGTTTTATCTTACTTTCAATTTATAAAATACTCTGTGATCCGGGCAAGCTTACCCCAAAAAAATAGCTGTATAATCAAAACCATTCTATCGCTAGAAGACAGGCTTTGGATTCTGCAGGAGGGTGGATTTGGTGTGATAAATTACTCCATGTCTTCGTGCTCACTCACCGTGACACCTACAATATGTATTGGAATTCATATTAGCTCGACCATTGGTTAATATCATAATGAATCTTGCACAAGGTATAGTGTCGCATTCTGTAGTGTAAAGAAAGTTCTCAGATTTGTGTTGAGTTCTAAATCCGGTGTCCTCATTGTAATTGAAGCTTTGAAGGGGCAGTGAAACTTTTGCGGTTTTCCAAGTGCTGCGTGAAAGATACATTTTCGCTCTGATTGGGATGACCTTTTCTTCTGTGAGTGGGTTCGTTATTGCTTAGCATTGGAGGATGCCAGTATTCTCTTTCACATCGATACGTTTTATATCAGCTGCATTACAGTGGTTGAGTTTCTTGCAAAGACATATCAAACAAAAAACGCAAGCATTGTAGAATGTCGAGCCCTGAGATTGCACGATCATAGCTCGGTGAAAGAAGGTGAAATGCAAACGTGCGTGGTGATGGTGAAGATTTCAATCTTGTCATACACATCTGCTCCCTGCTGTCCAAATCCCACAACGATGCTCGCTGTTTTAATTAGTACCCCAAAGGATGGATGGCAGTGTGTATTGCTACACGAACTCGCTCTAATCGCATCTGAATACTGTTTGGCCAAGTTGAAATGGGAACTTGTCGTGAATTGTCGAAGCAAATCAACAATCCATGCGTTTACTGTCACTGAAGATGTTCCCTGAGCTGCAGTCATTAAAGACTGTAAAACAAGCTCACCTTGACAGAGTTTCGTGCATGCTCTGCTATGGAAGACTTGCTGGTAGATAAATCTGCGAAGATATGAAGAGTGCGATGTACAACCAGTGCACCTCGAGCCACTCGGTTCACTTGAGGATTTACCTCACAAAATCCCACATCGAAACCTCCAGAGACTATAGTTTCCGAAAGTCATCGCATCAGCAAAAGGGGAAACTGAAAAGTCCTCTCGTGCTGCATGCAGGAGAGAATCTATCTTACTGGCAAGAGAAATTGAAACTCAGTGAACTAGCCGGTATTTTGCAAAGACCTTGAATATTGTCAATATCAGCCAATGGACTTAACACAGTGCCACGTAAGCTGAACTGCACCTGATTTTGATTCATCTGCCTCCTGAAAGCATATGTGACTATGGTATCAGAATGTCGGGATGCTTGAGCCAATAGATTCAAGGCTCGTCAAAATGAACACGTACTCGCTAATTCAGCTTCCTTCTGCTCCTTGCCATCTGCCTCTTTCCTTTGTTACACATGACAAATAAACAGGACAGTAAAACACGCTCAAACAAGGTGAGCCAAAGAACGACACTCAAAGTAATTCCGAAACACCAATGCAGGTGCCCACACTTTACTGTTGATCAAGTAGAAGGCAATGCTTCTTATACAAAATTAGTTTACCCCGATGACAGGTTGATACTTAGTCACTGGTGTGCATACCCGGGAATATAAGTTGATACATAGTCGCAGGGATGTAACGTCCAACATCCTGTGCTAAGCTGTTGACACAACGATCTGCGTTAGTTCAATTACTTGTGGTTCGGTAGGACTGCAATTCGCTAGCGGACCTTCAGTAATACCTACCTTCCACGAGAGTTGCTTGAATAAGAATATACACTCAAACATCAACAGCATAAATCAATCATAGCGTGCAGAGGAAGACAATGGCAAAGTCTCTTTATCTAAAGCATCTACATAATCACTTTTATCGTATCCATGAGGATCAAAGAGTTGAGGGTCGAAACAGCTGCCAATTTGATCAATACTGCCATACACAACTGCAAGCTGAAAGTAGTCTGGATTCCGATAACCTTTTCTTCTCCGCAAATCCTCGTTGAAACTTTTTCCCTCTTTTTTGATCTTCAAGAACTTCGCAAATTTAGACTTCAAGGCTTCCGAGCATGGTGTGGATGGCGAGTGTGGCCAAAAATCAGCAAGAGCAACTGCCTCTGCGGCAGGAGCTGGTGCTTCCTCACCATTGTTACTTTGTTCTTCCACCTCAGAAACTGTGTGTCTCTTCTCTCCAGTTTCCATTCAGGTCATCGTTGTCCGGATCTGAGTCGTCGTAAGATCCATTCTCATCAACAACTGACGGACCAGCAACCTCTTCCGACACATCGCCACCCAACCTTTCATCCACCTTGAGATCCACTCCTAGCCCCTCAGCACGCGCATAGTCTGCAATGCTTCCAACTGCATCCACTAGGCCACCATCCAGGTCATCGTTGTCCGGATCTGAGTCGTCGCAAGCGTGGAGCAAGGCAATGGATTCCGCCATCACAAAATATTCCCTACCGCCTAAACTCTCACGGACCAACTTTTAGGAAACCAAATAGGACCTAATCGTGGAAGAGAGTGCCCCTGGAATGTACCGCAATTCAATTCCATCCTACCCAATTCAACGACACGCAAGGATACCCTTCAAATTCACACATCATCCAGCTGGATTGCGCCGTTCGACGCAACATCGGTTTCCACTAGTTACCGCTCCCCTCGAAGGAAACGGTCTGCGAGGCGCCACTACACTCAAGCGCCTTCATTCTGTGGTATGGTCTGGTCTGTTCTATTTTTGTGAAAGGGAAGAGGTGTCCCTATGCTGGATTCCATGAGGCAAGTGGGGATGTAATAGGTGAGTGCAGCGCGATGCTAATTGGTTGAAACCAGCTTCTACCACAAAAACAAGTCAATATTATATAGTGAATCCATCAAAAAATATATATATGAATGAATTTATTGAATTCAAGCGTTGTGTAGCAATAAACAACTTCAATTTTGAATTTAACTATATCTTACGGTTTATCTTGTGGACAATGTTGAATATCAACATTGGAATGCTTAAGGCATCTAGTTGTGACAGGTCTGTAATTATCTTAAAGTTGAACTTAAAATCCAAAAAAAATGCATATAGTGTTTAAAAACATTTTTTTAATAGTCTCATATAACTTAAGCAAACTCCCAAATATCTTAAATATACCCTATCAACCTTAGAAAAATCCTACATAGATCTTATTACACTCTAATCAACTCCAAATAAACCTTAAATAATCCTTAATAACTTTTATAAAATCCTAAAAAAATTCTAAGTAAATCTAATTAAATCTTGATAAATCCAAATAAAATATTTATTAATCCTAATCATATTTAAAACAAATTCTAACTATTCTAATTAAATTTTTAAGAAATCCTAAGTAAATCCTAATCAAATTCTAATTAAATTCTAATCAATCATATTCAAAAGTTCTAGTATATTTATAACCTTGATAATTATTGAATCAATTATTGATCTTAATTCAAATCTTATAGTCTTTTCAATTTCTTAGTTAAAAACAAACACACAAAATTTAAAAATTAATAGGCTTATTGATTTAAAAAAAAAAAAAAAAAAAAAAAAAACCCTAATCTACTTAAGTATTGGTTATTTTTTGTCTATAATCTTCATATCAATCTTCTAATACCAATATTTTCTTTTTGCAATATTCACTTGCTTTAAACATTTGAAAAAATATTGGATTTTAATTCAATTATTATTTTATAAAAAATACTTTGATCTAACTACTAAATCATTCAAAATTATAACAATCCTTATTAACTTTCAAAGTCCAATTCCTATTAGAACCTATTCTACTTAAAATTTGATAATCTTAAATCTAACAAAGTGATTAAGGTCAAATTCACAACTTACATGTAGTACAACTACGTTTACAAATACACATAATGTAAAATGTAAATTTGCTACAAAATCACACAATTTTTTAAACTTTAAACCTCTTTTTATTTCATAAAAATTATATACATCCAAAATAATGTTAACTTTGCAAAGCTCTTATCAAATTATTATTCAATAAAATCATACAAATTTTAAGGAAAATAACTTGAAGAATATAAATAAACAATTGAGAAATTTTTCAAAAAAAGATGGAATATATATGCATATATAAATTTACAAAGAAAATAAAATGGCTATTTCCAAAGACCAAGAAACTAGACTAAAAAGAAGAAAGAAATTGACAAGAATAAAAAAGACCTTACTCTTTCTTTTATATATATTATCTAACTAGAAGCTATGTGGTGGGACTTCTTACACATGTCCAATTTGTAATACACATGTATTATTTGCAATGCAAGCTTTCTATATATGGACCACATGTCTAACTTGTTGGCTAAGATTTTAATCTACCAATCACCTTTAGACACATATAAAAATAAATTACATTTATGATAATTCTAAGTAGATTTTCTATAAGATATTATCAAATTTATCTACTATTATCTACTTCTATCTAGTCATGTTATCTAGATAATTATTTGAATAAATATGTATGTATGTAACATCAAATTTAAAGCTTTATAAACTTTATTATTTTTAGTTTGTAAATCTATTCTTTAATGAATAAACTAATTATTTTTATATATTTGACTTGTAGTTTTATGCTTTAGGATTTACTTTTAACTATGATTCAAAATAAGTCTTTTCCAAGCATCTATAATAGATAGTCATTTTTATGGATATATTTGTTTTAAAAAGTAAAACTATATAAAATTAAATATATATAGGTTAAATTACTAATTTCTTATTGAGAAGTTTCCTAGGAGCTTTTTAGAATTTATATGTGTTTATAAGTAATTGGTAGGTTTATAAATTTGTGGCATGTTGTACATTTAGCCATTTATATTTCAAGTTAGATATGTGATGCACATGTGGGAAATTTATCCTACACACTAGACATGTATCTTGTAAGTTAGATACATAATATATGGTCTATAGGACATTGTCTCATAATTCTTTGATAGATAGTACATATGGGGGCAATAATGAATCCTTCCTTATTCTTATCAATGACTTGTTATGTTCTATTTAGATTCATGATTTTTTAGTCTTCTTTTATTTTGTAATAGAAATTTTAGTTTTAATTCTATAGATATCTTTTAATTGTTTATTTTCTTTCTTTTGATGATATAAGATGGTATTATGATTTTTAGATTTTTTTTGAATTCACATTCTTAAAAATTTGATAAAAATACTAATTTTTTATACATGTTTAATTTTAAAATAAATATATTATTTTAATTTTTATTATTATATTTTAAATGTTGTGGAATGCCTATAATTAAATTAATTTTTTATATTTTTTAATATTAAAATTTTTTAAATGGTTTTTTTTAAATACATTTTATTTGATATTAAAGATTGGAGATTATTTTTTAAAATTTTGACTTGTAGAT